TTTTATTAATTCGAACTAATCAAGGTTAAACTTAAGTGTATTAGATTTTTAAAACAATTATTTTTAATCCCTACTGTGTGCTAGACACTGTTAGGTACCAGAGAGCATGTGAAAATATATAGAATGTGGTATTTTAAATTGTTAGTTGATATAAAGGGCATTTTCATTTTTTCCATTGAATTATGTCATGTAGCTAGATGTTCTGGATGAATCCACCTTCCAAGTCTCATGTGCATCTTGATATGAGTTTCCTAGAAGGCTTTCCTCCTCAGAGCAATTCTCTGAATTTGTTGATGGAACCAGTAGTTTTATTTTGCTTGTGTAACCTTTGTGCTCTGTATTTCTGTTCCATTAGGGATGAATCATCACTGAGCTTTTCAATAACAAGTGCCATTGTTTTGCTATCCTTCCTAGCCAATCAGCCACCATCCAAGAACTGCACACACGCTTACCTGTCTCCGTACCCCTTCATGAGAGGCGAGCACAACTCGACCTCCTATGACTCTGCAGTTAGTAAGTACCCTTTGTTCTCAGCCTATCACTGGAAGGGTCTTATCTTTCTGAAGGATGCCCATTTCAAAATTGTTGTGTGTAATTAAAAAACAATTTAAGACCTGTAATTTCAATATTTTAATATCTATCTGTTAGATTAAAAAATGTTATTTTCAATGTGCCATTTATGATTTTAAAGAATATAACTTTGATCTAAAAATGAAGTTATTATAATTTATTAGCTGCCTATAAAAGTATTTTTAAATATGTTTCCCCGTATGAAGCTAGTAATATTTATTAAGAAGAACTATTTCTTAAGGTTTAAATGGATCTAAAACAAGTCCTACAATTGAAAATTTTGTAATATACATTGTACTTCTAAAAATTTTTGTCATCATAACACATGAGAGTATAATATGTAAATACATATAATATGTATACAATAAATATATATGATATAAATATATACTTATGCTACTATATTCATACAAAATGACTGAACTCTGTGTGTGTAATATTCCATAGGATGGGAGACAAACAGATACCATTAACTTAAAATCACATTAAAAGCATGAAATTTGTAATAACTTGCCAAGGGTTGGTACAGACTATCAATGTCAAATATACAACAAAAAAGTGTTTTTCAAAAAGAATAACTATTAATGTTCTGAATAAATTAATATTAGGGTTCTCCAGAAAAAAGAGAAACAATAGAACACATACATAAATATATATTCTATACACACAAACATGTATATACATATACATGTACACAAACAGACACACACACATACACACACACAGATTAAGAGAGAATGATTGTAAGGCCTGGTAAGTCTGAAATCTACAGAGCAATTGGCAGGCTGGAGATTCAGGTCAGAGTTGCTGTTGCAGTCTCCAGTCTGAAGGCTGGACACTCTAGTAGAATTTTTCTGCTGCAGTCTTGTACACATATACACACACACGTAGATAGAGTGAGAGAGTGATTGTAAGGCCTGATAAGTCTGAAATCTACGGAGCAATTGGCAGGCTGCAGATTCAAGTCAGACCTGCTGTTGCAGGCTCCAGTTTGAAGGCTGGAAACTCCAGTAGAATTTTTCTGCTGCAGTCTGAAAGCTGACTTTCTTCTTCCTCAAGAAACCTGTTTTTTGCTCTTTAGGTCTTCAACTGATTGGGTGAGGCCCGCCTACAGTATAGGGTAGGGGGCAATCTGCTCTACTCAAAGTCAAGGGATTATACATGCTAATTACATCTAAAAATACCTTCACAGCAATATTAAGCTGACATTTCACCCAACAACTTGGCACCATAGTCCAACCTAGTGGATATGTAACAATAACCATCACAGAACTCAACACATCTTTACATGTAACTATTTTTCATCTTTCTGTTAAATATGTAATTCCATACATTAATTTTGTTTTAGTCTTGTCAAATAATGTTGCATTTCCTTGTATCACATCATTAATAGGATACTTAACGAAGAGGGTATGCAGTCTGGATAGGGAAAGAGGTGAGCTGACCCACAGCTGTGTTTGTCCACCAGCGTTTTTGGGTTTGAAGGCTGGGGCCATTTTCCTTGAAAACATGTGTGGTATGGATGCTCCTTCCCATTAAAAACTGCAGGAGGCACCTCATTCACATTTGTCAAAACTGTTGTGTCATGTCAAATGAACTTAGAAGTATACAAGCCTACCTGTCACTAGTCAGAGAAGAGATGGATGGCATAGGAAAGAACAGGAGAGACTCTTTTGTTTTACAGAAAAATTACAAAATGATCCTCCTTCCCCAATGTTCTTACTTTTATAAATTGAGCTGAAAAGTAATACAAGGTTGACTTCCAGAACATTAGGCATTAGCATAAATATTAGTATTGTTATTATTCGTATAATGAATCCTGTGATAAGATAGGTATCGTTGGCACCATATATTTTTAAATGATCACATATTTGAAAAGCTTGCACTTCAAGGAGAGAGTGGAGAACTTAAAAAACAAAGTAACATAATCTGTGCATAATAATTATGATGGAGATGGATTGTAAATACATGTCAGAAAAATTATACCGCAATTACACTTAGAATTATTATGTAGCACTGCATTTAATTAGTGTGTCACTTTTTCGATCCAGTGTCAAAACCAAATCCAATTTTTTAAAATTATCAGATTCCTCATTCGCACACATATTGGAACTCATTTGCTTTCAGAAACTTTGTCAATCACTTTAGGTAAAAATGATTGAGATTTCCAAAAATGTATTCTATAACAGAAACAGTATACACAAGTTTCATTCATCCTTATAATAATGTATAAGGAAATTTGATACTATGTTTGTTAAATTTTGTTTTTTTGTTGTTGTTGTATTGTTTGTTTGTTTCTTTCCTGTATCTAAGAGAAAGGCATAGATTTCATTGGAAGTTTTGTACCTGACTTCTCAGTATGGTTTCCTAGTTAATGAGACTACGTATCCTTCACTGTGCTTTAGAGCCACCATTAAGTTTCATGTAGCTTCACAATTACCCGGCATTAGATCCTTGCCAGTCACCTTTGATAAGTTGAAAGTGTCATTTACAAATTCTGATGTATTGTGGCCTGGCAAATTATTGGTGAAATGGCTTTGTAGTCTCCTGAGTTTTTACAATTGCAGTTAGCCAATATTGAATTCAGTGAAAATAATATAGTGGTGTATGATTTTTCTGGAGTAACTATTTTAGAATTATAGGATACTACCAATGAAATTATCATCTTTTATAATAAGGAGATTGGGAATTAGAGAAATCATGTGACTCTGTCTTAATACAGCTGCTTATTGGCAGAGCCAGTGCAAAGAACCAAGTCTCTGGCTTCTATTTTATCTATAATCTAATACACTATGACGAATGAAAAGGCTAATTGTAGTGCTTACTATTAAAAAATATGTATTTATTTGTATTTTAACAGAAGAACAAATTAAACTTACATTGGCTCTTTCTACCTTTATATTCAACCCTGACTTGTGTGTATAATCAGGTTTAATTCAGTGTTTTCTTTCATTTAAAATAATCTTGAATACATATTCTGAAATTCAATTATCCTCAAATCTAGTTATGTGAATGATTGCCCAAGCCTAGTGAGGGTGGTTTAATTCACAGAGTTGCTTTTGAGATAGGCTTGTGTACTTTTAAGTCCATTAAACAATTCTGCTACCTTTGGAGATTTGTCAGATCTAGATTTTCTGGTTTATGTTCATATTCAGTCACAGTTTGTTTGGTATCATTTGGCAAATGATGAATTTTCAAGATAATTCAACACCAAGTGAATTAATTTTTCACTTTCTCAGTGTCCCCATAGCCTTTGATGACCCCTCTATCAGAGTGCTCATTATGCTTAACTGGAATTGTTTGTTTACCTCAGTTCCTTCATTATTTATTTGAGCTCTCCAAAGCATATTTCCTGGTAATTACTAGATGCTTAAAAATATGTCTAGAATGACTTTATGCAAAATTACAGTTACTATTTTCAGCCATAAACTAGTTTGATTTTATTTTTCCAAGTGGAAATGTTTAGCAACTCAATTGCATACTTTTAGTTTCTTCGTAAGCAGAATGCAATGAACACCATTTCATCTTTTCTTGATAAGTTGGAACAAATTTACACTTACAGGGGTGAGCTACCTGACCTTCTTTAAGGCACTCCAGCTCAGTATCTGTCCCCTTGCCGCAGGACCTGTGTATATGCCTTAACTTTCCCCAAATGCTGTTGCTGTCTCCCTTCCTCCTCCTCTGTTCCTTTTTCTGACAGAGCAGGTTTATACATCTAGCATTTTCCCAAGGAGGACTTCCTTACCTGCCCCCTACCCCACTAATACATGCACTGGGCCAGGCTCTCTTTTATAAAACTCAGTCTTTAATTGGATAATTCATAGCAAGGTTTAAATTACTTACTCATGTAATTATCTTGTTCATGTACTTTCCTTCCAGTCCAATTCTAAGCTCCATGAGAGTGGGGGTCTTATATGTTTGGCTCACTATTGTATCTACTGTAGACAAAATCTGAATGCATATTTTGGGGAGACTTCATTATTACACTATACTGTGGTTTTAGTAGTGATGCCCTAAGTCACTATTGATGTGCAGAACTTCTTTAACCATTTACTAAATGGACCTACACAACTCTTTAAGCATTTTTTTTTGGCCAGGCGTGGTGGCTCACACCTGTAATCCCAGCACTTTGGAAGGCTGAGGTGGGCAGATCACCTGAGGTCAGTTAGAGACCAGCCTGGCCAACATGGTAAAGTCTATCTCTACTAAAAACAAAATACAAAAATAGAATTAGCTGGGTGTGGTGGTACACACCTGCAATCCCAGCTACTTGGGAGGCTGAAGCATGAGAATTACTTGAACTCAGGAGGGAGAGGTTGCAGTGAGCTGAGATCTTGCTACTGCACTCCAGCCTGGGCAACAGAGCAAGCTCCATCTCAAAAACAATTTTTTTTACATGCATTTTGTAATTTTTGAACTTCCACATTATTTTTGCCTGCCAGCTGTTTTTTGCTTTTATTGTCAATGTTTATTTAGTACTATTTGCTGGTCTTTCTTCTTTTACCCTTATAAAAGTGTAAGCTGAAGTGAACAGTGTGAGGCTATAAGCAGGGAGGCAGTGAGACAAGATGTTCATTGGCAATGCATTCGGCTACAAGTAACAGACAACAAACTGTAGCTCAAAAGGTTACTTTTTTCCTACAAAAAGAGGGTCGGAAGCAGCTTCCGCAACGATGCTGCCAGGAACCCAGGCTCTGTCAACTTTTTCTTCCACCATCCTTGGAGGAAAGTCACCTTCATGCTCTTTCATCCTCTGAAAAGTGGTAGTGCTCCTAGAATTTAACAGCCAGTTTCTGCCAATATTTTATTCATCAGAACAATGCCACAGATCCCTCTGGTTGGAACGCGTTCTTTTGGGCTGTCTAACAACACAGGAAGGAAATGGAGAAAGCCTGGGAGGGAATGAAAATCAAAATCATTCAGTGAATCAATATCATCAGGGGTTGAACAAAGGTGGGACAGTAAAAACGAAAAGGAAATAAAGGATATAATTGATGTGTGAGGAGTTAACATGTAAAATTAGCAGCCAAACAAAAAAGAGGCATCAAAGATGATGAAGTTTCCCTTTTAAATAGGTGTAATTCAGTTTAAATAACATACAGTTAAAAAGAAATGTGGATACATACCTTTAAACTATAAATATTAGTGGATTTTTAATCCTTTTATATGCATATTATATTCTGTTTTAATCATCATAAGCACAAATGTCTATCTTGCTTTTCTATTTTTATGTTAGCACACATTTCCCCATGTATTTACTTAGTGACGTCTCAAATTTGAAATATGTTAGTTGCCACCTCTACATCAAAAATAATTCTATGTATGTAGCATTTTTTTATAATTTGTATTTACTCTTTGGGTTATATTTCCAGAAGTGTGAATAGTGAATCAAAACATAGGGATAGATTTTCTTTGATGTTGTTATTGTGCCATAGCATAAAATTGCTTGCCAACTGGTACTAAACTGTGAATGATTTTCAACTAAGATAATTTGGTAAGGTGGACAGAAATCTGAGAGATAAGAGGAGGGGGAATGTTTTGAAGTAGAGCATGGTGATTTACTTTGGCTTGGACATATTCAGTTCAAGTTGATGGTGGAATACCAGTTTGTAATAATTCAGCAAGTAGCTTGACGTGCAAAACTGTTTTTCCTGAAAGTCATTAATTATCACAGTTGATATTGATGAGAAATTGTAGAGGCGATTTTGATATCAAATATAATCCTTAAGGAAAACAATCATAGGAATGAAGACAGTAAAATATAAATTATTCTTAGGGGAAGAAAGGAAGAAGAAGGATAGCCCACAAATGAGGGAGAGAAAGAAGCATTAAGAAACAAGTCAATGAGCAGTCGGTGTATTTGGGAAGGAGGCAGTGGTCTTCAATGTCAAATGCAGAATGAATGGGCATGAGAAGCAAGCAGGAAGGAATTGGATTATAAGCCAATGATGCAAAAATTCTCGTGGCCCAGTAGCTCCCTCCTCACCAAGGGTTCAGCTACAGACACCCATTAAGGCTCCTTGTTCCAGACACCTACTTCTATCCTAAATCTACCTAAGACTTCCAGATCATCTGCTGTGTATCCCTTCCTGGTTCACTTCCCATTGTCTTAGATTGGACCTGAGGACTCTGTCCTCTTTACCCTGCAATGTCCTTCCTCCCTCAGGGATCCCATTCCATTTTCCTGCACATTTTGTCTCCTGAGAGCCAAACATTCCTCAGGCTTCCTTCTCCCTGCTTCTCTTCTTGCAGTAAGAGAGATCAGACAGGAGTGACTTCACAAAGGAGTAGGAACAGAATGATGGGAATGTAAAAGCACACTCTAGGATGCTTGGGGAGTGAGCAGTGCGGAAGTAGAGACCTTTTCAATCAGCCAACACTGTGGCTTGGAACACCAACAGAGCACAGCATGGCGGAGGGTACAGAGTCCTTATAAAAACAGCCACATCCACACACAACAACTTTCTTTACCATACAAGGCAAAATAAAACACAAATATGATTGTCCTTACATTTGACGGTTTGAAACAGCCTAGGAAAAATTAAGGTTTGAGTCTAGCGTTTCTATAAATATAAATACTTAAATAATTTAGGAGGCACATCAACGCATTGTAGGTATCTAATCTCATTGAGATACCCCCACCTCAGTCCCCACCCTGGTTTGCAGATTGATTACTCTGGTGTCGCTGGGTCTTATTTATCAGTGTTTTGGGTATTCGTATATGGTGATTCTGGACATTGTCCTAAATGTAGCAAATCACTCCAAATACTTCCTCTCTGTTTTAGTTAGCTAGAAAAATCTATGCACTGCAAAATTTAATGGAAAATGCAATTTAGTCTCTTTTTTCCCGTAAATGTCAAGCACTTAGATATTTGGAAATGCCTAACATCAACTTAATTTCCTGCTATTCCTTCAGACATTTGGGATCACACAGCCATGACCACAGACACAGTATTATATTACAAGAGTGGCTGCAGTTCCTGAACAACAGCTGACTCTCATATGGGACCTTAGCCCAGGCTCCATTGCATACAGGTTTGGAGCCACTCCCACGGTGGCTCACTGGGCTTCTGCATGCTCTAGCTCTTTAGGGTAGAGTTGGCTTGAAACTTCTAGGGCACAACTTCAAGGCTGTACCTAAAAATCATTTTTTTTCAGAGGGTGCCATTTTGTGTTCTGTACAATTTATTTGTGGGCTTCTCAGAATTGGTTGGCAGTTTATGTAATATCCCTGCAATAATGGGAGGCAATTACTTTCTGAAAACAAGACCTGTGATTATCCCAGCAGCATGGCCTGGATTCCCTTTGCAAAGGACAGGCTTCCACTTCCACAGAGGCTTCAAGTGATTCCTGAAAATGCCCACCACACTCAGAAGCAGAAATGTTCTCTCATGCTTGGAACTCCTGACGCAGACAGCAGGATTTCAGCCTTGGGACTATGGACACTGTGGGCCAGATGATTCTTTGTTGTGGGACTGTCCAGTGAATTGTGGGATATTTAGTAGCACCCATTGCCTCTACCCACTAGATCCCAGTTATGATAACTAAAAATATCTCCAGACATTGCCAGGCATCCTGGGTGTGGGTGGGCACAAAATCACTCTCTAATGAGAAGCACTGGAGCTGTATAGACATTTAGTCCCCAAACCTCTAACTCAGACCCAGGATCTTCTTCGAAATTATCTTCATGCTGCTTACACTGTGTGCCCAGCTCCAGGTCTAGGCCCGAATATAAACAAGAATAGCTTCCTTCTACTGCCTTCTTTGATGCAGAGTATTCAAATCCCAAAGAGCAAGGAGCTGCCTGGGCCTCTCTTATCTTGCATCGTCATTGCTTCTGCCTGAAATTTTGGACCTTTTCTTAGGAGAGAGCATCAACTAGAACCAGGGAAAAGCAATTATTGAGTGCCTGCTGTATACTGAGCACTGTTCTGGATGCTTCAGAATCAGCCCTAAATTCTTGCCCTCATGGGGCTTTCATTATAGTGGGGAGGCTAAAAATAAACAAAATTAAGTCAGTCAAGCACTTGGAAGAAAGTGAAAGATGATAAAGGTGTGTGTGTGTGGAAGGGACTTCAACACTAAGTAGGGTGACCAGGGAGGAGTCACGAACAGTTGAGGTTTGTTTTGAGGTAGACATCCCTGGGTCGAATGTGGGTTCTGTCATCCCACGAGCTGTGTTGGAAACTTCTCTGGTCCTTCTTTTGGGGACTAGACAGATGCTGCAGAGTATTTAGCACAGAGACTGGCTCGTGGTAAAGGTTCTGTGGGGGTTACAAGCTGGGCTTCTGGTCCGTGTTCATCACCTGCTGCCATCACTTTGGGTAAGAGCACTCGGGCAGGCTTCTTAATCTCCACAAACTGGTTTGTAAAAGGGAGATAAGAATAGTTTCAACCTCACATAGTTGTTTTCAAAATGAAAAGACATCATAATACCAATGCTTGGCAGAGTCGTTGCCACGTAGTTGGTATTCAGTAAATGTCAGCTATTCTTATGATGATATACCAATTTAGAGCACCAAAAATAAGACATCATTAGGGCACACAAATTCATCATAGCTTCTCCCTAGTGAAATGCTTTAAGCTCTTTGAAGGGTGTGTGTGTGTGTGTGTGTGTGTGTGTGGCCACACAAGTCATTTGGCAGACATTCCAGCAAAGAGTTAGTGCCTCATAGACATGTGTTCATTATTATCATTATCACCGTCATCCTAGTACATGGTAGTTAACATTATGCTGCCTGTGCTGACCAAGATATGCCAGTCTTTATCTGGTAGTAGTGATTAAAATTTATTCAACAAATATTTTTTGAGCACATGCTATATGCCAAACCCTTTTTTTAGGTTCTGGGGAACAGTAGTCAAAAAAGAAAAAAAAAAGATAAAAGTCCCTGCCCTCAGGGGGCTGACATTTGGGTGAGGGGAGTCAGATGAAGCAATTAACTTGGCCGATTACACAGTAGTTAGAAGATGACAAGTGCTCTGGAGAAACCTAAGACGTGGACAGGGCTGGACACTAAGCGGATGGATATAAATAAGGACTCTGAATGTGGCCAGACGAAAGCATGTCTCTGAGAAGCTGACATTGGAATGGAAACCAGAAGAAAGCGAGGGAGCAAGCCATGTGATGAGAAGAAGAATGTTCAAGACAGAGGGAACATCAGATGCGAAGGCTTAGAGGCCAGGGCATACTTGATGGGTGACAACAGAAGAGAAGGTGGATGGCTGGCGAAGAGCAAGTGAGGGGAGCATAGAAGACATGGTCAGAGAGGCAACTGGGGAGCCTGGGCTATTGTAAAGACACTGGCTCATTCCCTTTTATTTTTTTTTTCTTTGAGACAGAGTTTCATTCTTTTTACCCAGGCTGGAGTGCAATGGCGCGATCTCGGCTCACCGCAGCCTCCGCCTCCTGGGTTCAGGCAATTCTCCTGCCTCAGTCTCCTGAGTAGCTGGGATTACAGGCACGCGCCACCGTGCCCAGCTAATTTTTTGTATTTTTAGTAGAGACGGGGTTTCACCATGTTGACCAGGATGGTCTCGATCTCTTGACCTCGTGATCCGCCCGCCTCGGCCTCCCAAAGTGCTGGGATTACAGGTGTGAGCCACCGCGCCCGGCCCTCTCTTAATGAGATGAGAGGGGAAGTAAGGAATGCTTCCCATCTGACATGTTATAAAATAACCTCTCCAGCTTGTTGTATCATTAGCAGCCTATGCAAAAGCAAGGGAGCAATCAGAGAGTCCAGTTAGGAGATTTGATGTATTCCAGATGAGTAGGACCCCAGGATATAAGGAGGTAAAAATGTGTTTCATTCTAACAGAGTCCTATTAAAATTATTTAACTGCTGTAAGAGAATCTGTCAAATGGACATCACCTGGAAAAAAAAATGAAACAGCAAAAAACTGTGTATGTATGGACTACTGTGTACTTTAAAATATCAGTCCTGGATTTTTTTGTTCTTGTTATTAATTTTAGATTTTTTTCAAAACCATTTTATTTTAGAAATTTTCACATTTTCACAGAAGAGTATAAGGAACCCAAGGAACCCATATGTTATCATCACACAAATTCATTAATTATCAACATATTTATACATCTATATAAATCTATGTAAATAATCCAGACTGAATTATTTTAAAGCAAATTCCAAGCATTATGTACTTTCTATGATAAATATGTCCATATGTATCTTTACAGGTTTTACACTCTGAGGTTTTATTATTATTATTTTTTGAGATAGAGCCTTGCTCCATAGCCCAGGCTGGAGTGCAGTGGTGCGATTTTGGCTCACTGCAACCTCAGCCTCCCGGATTCAAGCAATTCTCCTGCCTCAGTCTCCCAACTAGCTGGGATTACAGGCACACATGGCACCACACCTGGCTATTTTTTTTTTTTTTTTTTTGTATTTTTAGTGGAGACGGGTTTCATCATGTTCGCCAGCCTGGTCTCAAATTCCTGACCTCAGGTGATCCATCTGCCTTGGCCTCCTAAAGTGCTGAGATTACGGTGTGAGCCATCACACCCGGCCATTTTGAAATATATACGGGTGGTTGCAAAGATAGTACAGAAGTCCCCGTGCCCACTCTCCCAGTTTCCTTCATTGGTTACATGGCTATAATGCAATATCAAAACCAGGAAACTGACATTGATGCCATGCGTTTGTATTGTTCTGTGTCATTTATCACATGTGTAGATTCATGTGGTATGAACACTACCCCTAAAATGATGTAGAACTATTTCATCCACACAAAGATATCCCTCATGTTACCTTTCATAGTCACTTCTCTGGCCATTTCTAACCAGCAACCACTAATCTGTTATCCATGTTTTTCATTTTGTCATTTGAGGATGTTATAGAAATGGAATCAAACAGTGTGTGACCTTTTGAAACTGGCTTTTTTCTAAGCTTATACCCTTGAGATCCATCCAAGTTGTGGCATGCCTCAATAGTTATTTCTTTTTATTGCTAAGTAGTTTGTTTATTCACCTGTTGTAGGGCATTTTGGTTATTTCCAGTCTGGAGGCTGTTACAAAGATTGTGTACTGCTTCTGTATGGATGTAAATTTTCATTTACCCTGGATAAATGCCCAGAAGTACAACTGCTGAGTCATATGGTAAGTAAATGTATAGGTTTTTAAAAAACTGCCGAAGTATTTTCCAGAGTAGCTGTACCATTTTACATTCCCACTGATAATGCATGAGAGATTTAGATTATCTGTATCTTCACCAGGTTTTCTAATTGTCACTAGTTTTTCACTTACTTTTTTAATTTAAATTTTTGTGGTTTTTTTGTCCCCAGGTTTTTTACGTTAGCCATTCTTATAGCTATGTAGTAATATCTCAATATGGTTTTAACTTACGTTTCCATAATGTCTAGTGATGTAAAACCTCTTTTCATGTTCTTAGCTGCCATCTATATATCATCATCAGTAAAATTTAGTATCTTTTGCTCATTTTCTCATTGGATTAGCTGACTTTTTACACAGAGTTTTGAGAGTGCTTCCTGTATGATAGATATGAATCCTTTTCAGATATGGCGTTTTACAATTTTCTCTCATTATGTAGCATGGCTTTTCATCAGGAACTTTTGCAGAATAAAGGTGGTGAATGTTGATAAAATTTAGTTTAATAATTTTTTTTTTAAAATAGTGCATGTGTTCAGTGTCATGTTTAAGGGCTGTTCACCATTCCTTAGGTCTTAAAGATTTACCTCCCATATTTTCTTCTAAAAGTTTTATGAATTACAGTTAAATCTCCAATAAATTTTGAGCTAAGTTTTGTATAAGGTGTTAGTCTCATTCTTTTTTGAAGATGTATGTCCACTTATTCCAGAACCCTTTGTTAAAAACTGTCCTTCTTACATTGAGTTGCTTTTGCATTTTTGTCAAAAAATAGTTGATCCTACTTATATGGGACTAATTTCTGGATTCTCAATTCTGTTTCACTGATCTATGTCTCTATTCCTCTGCTAGTACCACATTAACTTAATTATTTATCTATCTAATGAATGCTGAAATTGGATAGAGTGATTCCTCCTATTTTCTTCTGTTTTAAAAAGTTGTTTTATCTAGTCTAGATTATTTGTTTTATCTAGTCTAGATTATTTGAATTTCTGTATAAATTTGAGAATAATCTTGTCTATATAGCTATAAAAATCTTGCTGCGACTTGCTGAATTATATTAAACTGACTTAGGGAGAATTGGTATCCTCATTATGTTCAATCTTCTAATCCATGGACATGGTTTATCCTTCTGTTTATTTAGGTCTTCTTTGATTTTTTTCATCAGCATTTTGCAGGTTTTAGCACACAAATACTATGTGTTTTATTACATTTACAGCTAATGAATTCATTTTTGGAGCAATTGTAAACAATATTGTATTCTAAATTTTATTCTCCATGTGTTCATTGCTAGTATATAGAAATGAAATTTCATTTTTTTTAAAGAATAAGACTATTTTAACAGCAGTTTTATATTTACAGAAAATTTCAGTTGAAAGTATAGAGCATTCCCATCCCACCACCTAAACAGTTTCTCCTATTATTAACATGTTGCTTTGCCTTGGTACATTTTTTGTAATTGATGAGCCAACATTGATCCATTATTATTGTCTAAAGTCAATAGTTAACATGAGGGGGTCACTCTTTGTGTAAGCATTGAATGAGTTTTAACAAGTGTATAATGGCATGTATCTACCATAGTATCATACAGAGTAGTTTCATTACCCTAAAAATCCTCTTTATACTGTTTATGTATCACTTTCTGCCCCCAAACCATGGCAACCACTGATCTTTTTGCCATCTTCATAGTTTTACCTTTTCCAGAATGTCATATAGTTAAAATCACACCGTATGTAGCCTTTTCAGATTGGCTTCTTTCCCTTAATAATGTGTATTTAAGGTTCCTCCATGTCTTTTCATTGGCATGATAGCTTATTTCTTTATTGTGATAAATAATGTTTCATTTATGGGTGTATCATTGTTTATGCATTCATGTATTGAAGCACATCTTGATTGCCTG